GAGTGGCATATTGGAATAGTGGTGCCATTAGGGCCCCACTCAGCAGAAGGAACAGGAAGACTCGCAAATGGAGCAAGTGAAGTCATGCATATTTAAAATGATCCCACCCCCATAAGATAATTAAGTCTAGGGTCCAAAATGATTTAACTGCACCACTGTACAGAAAGCTATGGTGAATCAACTTTCTTTTAATGTTCCTTGGAGTTTTCTTCAACATGTTAAGTCTTTCATCCAATGTATCTTTGTTGTTTTCCAGGAAGAGAAGTCCATAAGGCTGTTTGAACTGATTAAATCAGAATGATACAGAAAAAGACGATCAGGCAAAAATGTGATTCTCTCTTCAACGGACCCAATGAACAGAGCATTCTTAAAGGAAGAGATGCCTAAGTATGAACCAAGGCTGATCCCTGTGATCATTCCAAATCAAGGCACCCTGTGTATAGTTTCCGGTAGCATGTTGTTGTATTTGTGTCCACTGATGATGCATCCATATAGGAGAGCTGCAGCAAAATATAAAGTCCAGGGCTGGAACTGTCAAACTTTTTTTAACCATACGTCTATTAAATGTGAAATTGCTTCAGTGGTGGCTTATGCTTAAGACTTGGTGGTGACAGATAAGGTGCAATTGTTTGGGGAGGGAGGGAGGATTCTAGACATTCATTCATTCACACAACCACTGTTCTGGTGAGCCAGAAGAAGTCAGAATACCATTTTTGCATGCATTTGTCAAGCTGATTAGAAAGTGGTTGGCAGTTGAATGTATAATAGGTAGACAGAAGGATGACAGAAAGATCCCAAGGTGATGCCATGGCTTAGTGGGCTGCACAAAATAATTTTATAGGTCAAGTTTATATTTATCATATCAGACTTCTGACAGTTGGCTTTTTATCCAGATGCTTTTTCAAATGTGTCAAGCTCACACTGGTTACGAGATGTAATTTGAGCTGCTGAGATGTTATCAGAGATAATCACTGCTTTATGCTGTGTTTAGTTACACTTGGATCATTTTGTTCATCCACAGAGCACAGGCTAAGAGTTCCATTGTCGGGATATATAGCAACAGACGCAGCAGACAGCCAGATCTAGTTCTCTTTTGAGATGAGTATGATAGAAGTCCAGGTTGTCTACAGACACAGCCCCCAAGGATGTTGATAATGCCTGAATGTCCCTGGAGGAATTAGGATTGGAATTCATCTTGAGAAGGAAATACCTGAGGCATAGCCATTCGATACAATCAAAAGCTTTCTCAGTGTTGGGGGATAAAATGTTCAAAATGTGTCTTGCCTTGTATGCAACATCAAGCCCATGTAACACTTTGTCCACCAGGTGTCATCATGGGATGAATTCCATTTGATCAGAGTGGATGTACTGGGTGATAATGTTGTCCATTCTGTCAGTTAAGACAGCTGTAAAGTTCTTCGAGTCCTGATTGATTAAGGATATTGAGCAGTAAGAGGCAGTTACAGCCGAGTCCTTTCCCTGTTTCAATCATCCAGCTTTTCTTCCACCCACAAACAATATCTAACTACTCCAAAGTAGTCACAGAAGTCTCAAAGGCCTTGCTATCAGAATTTTATGCAAATATGTGTAATTTGTAGACAACCTTCTTATTCTACTGATTGCCTGGTTTCTCTGACAAAAGACTGTAGCCTGGATCCAAGGGACCATACAGAGGAACCATACACATCATAAGGCTCCTCACGTGATCCCTTCTGGCTATAGCCCCTATACCACCTTACAAGATGCTCCAAAAACTCTGAAGAACTTTGGGACTGTCTGCAATCTGCTATAAAACATTCTGTTTTTTGGCTTTGGCTAAGCAAGGACTTCCAAATTCTTAAATAGAAGGTACGTGCACTAAAATTATTCAGATACAGTGGACGCTTGGATTGCAAACGTGATCCATGCGGGAGGCACATTCGCAACCTGCAGCATTCGCAACCCGCAGCGCCGTGTCTATGCATGTGTGGGTCGCGATTCGGCGCTTCTGCACATGCGCAAAGTGCAATTTAGCACTTCTGCGCATGCACGAGCGCCGAAACCTGCAAGTAACCCGTTTCAGTACTTCCAGGTTTGGCGCAGTGCACAACCCGAAAACGCGCAACCTGAAGCGTCTGTAACCCGAAGTATGACTGTATCAGCCATCATAGGTAAAATTAATCCCCTTGTAAATTGGTGGTTCAGAGTTGGGAACAGGGAATGCCCAGTTATGTTTATCCTTCATTTCAGTTTCTAGGCAGATGATTGGCCAATATCAGATACAGAATGCTAGCCTATGTTCTTAAATGCAGCCTAAGCAAGCAGGCCTTAGCTACGGTAGACATCAAACAATTAGAACTCATATAAATGGCATGTGGATTATGCAAATGGCATTGCATCTTATGACTCAAGTTACAGACCATTTAATCAAAATACCTATACATAAGTTCCTGGAAATTGTGGAGAAACAACTAAACAGTTTATGTACAAGCAAAATGATCATGTAACATGAAAGTTAAATTACCCTCAAAGATACAACCTGTCTTTTACTTTGAACCAAAAGGAAATTTGGTCTTTCCCCCATTATAGTTACAACCCCCACGTCACTTCTTCAATCAGCACTTGCCTAATTTTGGCACTAAGCCATGACAGTGCTGTGACACTATAGCAAGACAAGGGTCTTGAGGTCAAAGTAGATGGGGCTGTTTATTTGTGTTTATTTGTATCCTGCTCTTTTTCCATTTGATTCAGGGTTGTGTATATGGGAGGCTGAAGAGTGTTCCATTCAGGAACTAGCCAGGCCAAAATATATAGTATATCTTCAGAGAAATTAAGGCACTATTATTCCACTAAACAACTCCACTGAAGTTACTAGCCAACTAAAATATTTACTAGCTGCATGCCTATTCACATCTATCTAGTCATTTATGTCCTAAAAAGAAGAATTGTCAACTTTTGTAAAAATAACCTTGTCTTATCATTTTGGAAGCATTTCTTACTGACCAGAAGTGACCAGATCAAGTGGCTGTTGGGCAAAAGGTCCTCAGAGGAGGTGGGTAAAAGCTACCAACTTAAGCAAGCACATTTTCAGTATTTAATATTGCCTATTGATGAAGCATGCTTCCAGTCTGTAATGCATGAAGCTATAGTCAAGTCATCACACTGGGTAGTAGCTGCAATATGTACTGAGTTTATTTCTCTCTCTATGTTCTCAGAAAATAAAACCCTTTGGGGTATCAAGAAATGTTCCTTTTTAAATTTAGAAAATCTAAATTTGCATAGAGAAGATCATAAGTATGTCTATTTTACCTGTATGGTTATTGGCACCACCACTTGAGATTGAAGGAAGAGGGGTTAACTTGCACTTGTTTAGCTGCTGCAGAGGAACCTCAGAGGTGCCTGCCCTAACAAGCCATGTGCCTGGACCTTAGAAAGCTGGCTTACAGCGAGTCCATCTAGAGTATACTAGTATTATGAACACTGACTGGCAGCAGCTTTCCAAAGTCTCAGGCAGAGGTCTTTCCTATCACCTACAGCTCATCATCTTAACTGGATAACCTACAAACACAAACTGTAACGGCCTGCATGCAAATCATGTGCTCTACCACTGAGCAATTGCTAATGTTGGGGATAGGAACCTTTCTTCTGCTAAGGGCCACATTACCTCTGGGTTGGGGGGGGCTGGGCCAGATAAATTTTTATTAGTTTTCCAATATTCCCCCAATAAAAGCCAAACTATAACAATATCAATTTGTCGGCAATTTGTCGGAGGCTAGATGCTAGCAGTATGCAAGGCCAGAGTGAAAAGTGAGAGAGACGCTACCTCTATCACTCATTTTCTCTCTCCCTTTGCCACCCATTTTCCACCTGTTCTTCCCCTCTGTGGCACCTGAATGAACTTAGGTAGGCCACAGGTTGCTCACCTTTGCCATATGTGCAATCTCCCATGATTCTACACACGTGTTAACTGACAAAGACAACTCGTGCCCAAAGCACCATCTGATCTCTTATGAAGTACTTCTGGTGGTTCCCCATGCCCTGGAGCCTTCACTAGGAATTAAGCCTTTAGCTTGGCAGGCCCTGTGCTGTGTAGGGGTTCGGGAGGAACTGTCCCTATCTTCTTTTAGAGGTTTGAAAACTGTACTGTTTAGACAGGTCTTCACAATATGAATTTCTCTTTTTAGCCAACCAGTATCTACTGATGTTTCAGTGAAGTTTTATAGATATTTATAGACTGATATTATTGTGCTGTATATGTTCTGAGCCTCCTTTATATATTTTACGAAAGTGTGGATTATAAATGTTCAAACAAATACATAACTGCTACCTTTGGGCTCCAACTACCTATGAGCATTTGACAGGCTGCCCCAGCATTAAGACAGCATTAAGAGGAGGCCAATGCAAGGAACAAGACTGTGGATGAACTGAGTGAATTCTCCCTATTCCCTCCGTCATGCAATTATTGCTGCTTGTTTTTGAACACCTAAATAGGGTGTTCAAATAATTGTGAACACTGGGATTTCCCTCCATCCTTGTGTAGAAAAGAAATGTCAGGAACAAAGCAGCCCTAAAAATATGTCTTTTGCAGCATTGCCTGGAGATCAACAAATTAGAATTCATGAAAAACTCCCATCGAAATTTCCACTCAAGGCTTTATGAGATTTTTCAATCAGTTTGTAGTGCAAACGTACAATGTACATTGCCCCAAAATGTAAAAATGCGCATTTGCATTACAAATGCTTTTCTTCTAGTCTTTTCTATATTAACAACTATGAAACGTGTATAGAAATAACATGAGAGTCTCAAGGGCAATTTAAGCACTTGTATGGACACATTCACTGTGTTCCAAGGATATGGGTTTCTACAGAGAAGAATCTCCCCTACAAAGATGAAATGTCACTCTTGACCTTCATTCTTTGTCAAAGTGCTGAAAGAGAGAAGTATTCTTCAAAGAAGTCATATAGAGCTACCGAAACATTTTCTCTTATGTTTAAAAAAAGAAAAGAAGAAGCTCTGTGTACCTTTCTGACTGGATTCAACAAAGTACTCTCTGGGGAGTGAATACTGACAATAGCATCTTCCAATGGCTGTGACATGGGTGGAATCATGTTTCTATCAAGAGGAAGTGCTGGTTTTTGACCTTCTGCATCAGTGGAATCTTCAACAACCTATGATAAGGGAATAATCAGCACAGATTCATTAATAGCACCAAAATCAGTTTAGGAAATGAGTCGTAATATGAAAAATCCTTTTGATGGAACACCCTTATTTTATTTGTACACACAGGGATCATTTCCAGATGATCTGTAGACTGAGCCACCCTCCTAATTTGTTTGCAGGGAGATCAGTGGATTTTGCCCATTAGTTAACATTCAATCAGATTTGTTTGCAGTCAAGTTAGATAACGCTGTGTCAAAGCAAGTGTTCTCACACTCCCCAGTGCATTTCCTCATCACTTTCTTTACTGCAAAAAGTCCAATCTTTTGCAGAAGAGCTCCAAATCAACTTTAATTGGGCAACCAGAATTTGCCAGTGTGTTATCAAATCCCACCTAAAAATAGTGAAGCCAGGAAGGGCCTACTGAGTTCACAGGTGTCAGCCCATTTATTAACAATTACTGGCTTTAAATCTGTGCTAACCTATCTGCATTGGAGCCTATTTGGTACCAAGTTTTGGTTAGGGCATTTAAACAGCTAGAGACCCAAAAAAAGAAAATGACTCACCTGCTGGGCTTCATCCTGGCTTTGCTGCTGAACTGCCGTCGGCTGCCTCACAATGTAGTTTATTTGCCCCACAATTGTTTGCTGAACATGCTGAGGCTGCTTGGCCTGATTCACTTGCAGGCTCGGTTGCTGAGCCTGGAGGAGAAGCTCCAGATCTTTCTTCATTTCCTCCAGTTCAAACTGGTGGTGCATGATGTCCAAACTCTGCTGTAGCACTTGTTCGTGAGCCTTCTCGTTCTGACCTGTCGTAGATGACTGCTGTGGTGACAGTGGCGGCAGCGGCGGCAAGGGTGGCTGTTCCTGCTGCTGCTGCTGCTGTTGCAAGTGATTCAGCTTTAGCTTCTGGAGAGGACCAAGCTGAACTTGCACTGTCGGACTGTGCAGAGCAGATTGCGCAGGCAGCTGCTGGGAATGTCCAGCCTGGCCTTGTTGACCATCATGCAGGGGAAGGGGATAAATGGGATGTGCTGCCTGTTGCAACGGCTGCTCTTGGGAATGCTTTCCCATCCTGGCAGATAAGCTATCGTGCTCCTGGTGAGATTTCTGCTCGGCACAAGGCTGCAGTGTTTTCACAGGTCGAGAGGTGCACCTCTGTTCTCTTTCGTGCTGCTGCTGGCTATACTGCAGCGGGAAATGCTGCTGGTGGTGCTGCATCTCAGGAGGCTGTCGGAAGGAATGAGCATGGCTCATGGTTTGATGTGGAAGCTGTCCTTTATTCATGTGTGGGATGTTAAGGCAATGGGTGCAGCACACAGGGGTAGGGCAATGAACAGGAGGCTGAAACTGGTGGGACTGGTTGTTGAGAGAGTCATGCTGTGGTGCTGGCGAATGATGTCCGTGATGATGATACAAGGAGGGCTGCATTCCTTGCATACTTCCATAGGATGGCACATCTGAGTGATGGATTGGTCCCCCCTCCATTGACAAGTGGCCTGCAGAAAGCAAGGAGGAAATAAAAACGGGAAGGATGCACCAGAAAAATGGAGAAAAATACCCACCCATCCACCAGGAGGGGGTCAACATGTGCTAGAAACAGGCTATCAAATCTTCCTTCAGGGGAAACCTTATTCAGAAATACTTCCACAGAGTCTCACCTTTTGCATTATCTCCTAGTATCTGAGTATCAAATGGAGGCATATGGTGAATTGTTGTTGTTTTAAGCCCTGTTAAAAGTAGAGGACTGGTGAGATAATAGCCAGCCCAAAGGGGGATGTATGACTTTTTCCCAAATTGTCATTTGTAGCACTTCCATTAAGACACTGTAAGCCAGGGGTCAGCAAACTTTTTCAGCAGGGGGCTGAACCACTGTCCCTCAGACCTTGTGGGGGGCCGAACTATATTTTGAAAAAAAATGAACAAATTCCTATGCCCCACAAATAACCCAGAGATGCATTTTAAATAAAAGGACACATTCTACTCATGGAAAAACATGCTGATTCCCGGACCATCCGCGGGCTGGATTTAGAAGGCGATTGGGCCAGATCCGGCCCCTGGGCCTAAGTTTGCCTACCCATGCTGTAAACAATCTTTTAATTTCAGAAGGGCTTGTGAGAGTATTTCAACAGTAGCTATTTCAGCTTGTGGGGGTGGGTATACTACATGGCTGCCTTTTGGTCCCGTCCCCCCCCAAAAATGCTTCTCCAGATATGGAAAGGACTACATCAACATTGGGACGCGGGTGGCGCTGTGAGTGAGCTCCCGTCGTTCGGTCCCAGCTCCTGCCCACCTAGCAGTTCGAAAGCACTCTTAAGTGCAAGTAGATAAATAGGTACCGCTTTATAGCGGGAAGGTAAACAGCGTTTCCGTGTGCTGCTCTGGTGCCGGTTCGCCAGAGCAGCTTCGTCACGCTGGCCACGTGACCCAGAAGTGTCTCCGGACAGCGTTGGCTCCCGGCCTCTAGAGTGAGATGAGCGCACAACCCTAGAGTCTGTCAAGACTGGCCCGTACGGGCAGGGGTACCTTTACCTTTACATCAACATTATCCCCCTACTTTCAATAAGGTATTTGATTCTGGCATGGTTATTTATGTATGGATGTGCATGTGTGTGTGTTTTCATTCTTATAACACCAAAGCAAAATAGTGGCGCCTATGTCACTCGCATAGGGGTATAACTCACAACTTGGCCTTTTTCCACACACGAAAGTCTTTGACTCACCTTGTAGCAGCTTTTGGGTGACATATTAAGTGTAACTTACAAAGAATTGTCACAGTGGCAGCAGTGGAAAAATTAACATCAATACTGATAATACACACACACATATTTTCATCTAATGAACTCAAAGGAAACCTAACATTGTATGCTTTTTTTACCTAAATTGGACAGTTGTTTAGTCCAGAAAGATGGGTCCCATGTGAATCTGACCTTCCAAGGAGGACCTGCATCAGTATTACAGTTTGTTTCTAGTAAACGCTGGATCTGAAACACAATCTGGTAACAAATAAAAAAATTACTGTTAGAGTTAATGATGATCAATGCTTTATCAATCACAGCTGATTATGACTTATAACTTTAAATAACCCTACATTTCCATTTTCCATTATTGCTTACTTGCCCATTCAGTTATCCTTTATTTCATTTTGCTTTTCGATTTGCTTACATTTTCAAGGCAAGAATCTCCTAGCTATAGTGAACTAATGAGAGGAAAGGAATTCATGTTGAAATCAGGGACTCCTAAGCCAGTTGTCCATCACTGCAGGAGAAATGATTTTGCATGCAGACAACAGCAGGATTGTAATGTCTGCTATGCAAACTTCAGTGGAGAGTAAAGTTACTCAAATTGCCTTGGAGACCAGCAAACAGCCTGAAATAGTGAACAAGAAGTATGCTTCTGCAAAACTGGCACTTTTGCACTTTTGCAAGTGCCACATAGTGTATGTTCCACATATGTGAGGAGTCATTCCTTTAGTAAGGCAGTACCTTATTGTGGCAGACACATGATTTAGTTAATGATTTTTCTTTTAAAGTCATTGATTTTTATCTTTGTTTTTAAGGATGGTGTGATTCTATGTACACTTGTTTTTAACTGGTGTATGACTTTATCTATGTTTTTATTTATAATTCTATCTGTACACCACTTGGGAAATTTCTTTTGATCTAGTGGTTTATTAATTCTCTAAATAAAATAAATAATTGATAAGTTGCTGATGTATGAAACAAGGCTGAGATAACAATCCACAATACTTTACTGTGTAAGCAAATCCTTACTGTCTCACAATCTTTCTCCCATAATTACAAACGATATTTTTATATGTGCTTTCCCCAATAAAGTACTGCACATAGAGAGCAACCTAAAGCCATATCCAGAAACTCCACTGTGAGCATAGGATCTTTCTTTCACACTAGCCTCATCTGGAATATTACTGAGTCAGCAAAATGGAATCCTATGCATATTTACTCAGAAGTAAGTCTGCATTCATAAGACAACCAGATCTGTACTACACAGGGCTAGTTTAGGGGGTCTAATTATTTGTTATGGGCATTTACTCTTTACAGTACACATGTGTACCTTTTGTGTTTTCATTATTAGCTTTAGCTCCTACATATTAATGCAGATTTTTAGTTCATGTTGCCTTACATTGTCTTGGTTGCCTTTTCAGATGACAGGTAATTAATACATACTTAAATACATAAATGCATCAGTATTGTGCTGTATCTTCAGTTCACACCAGTTCCATATCCTGTCCCACTCTAGATGAAAGTAACGGGAAGCTACTGTAAATCATGAATGAGGTAGGCATTATGTGAATGACTATGTTAGCATGGGGGGAAAGGCACTGGATCTTGTTCCATTTCCTATGCTTCTGGGTCAGCACTAAAGTCCCATGCTGATCACAAGAAAGCATCCTATGCACTGTATATGCACTATATATGCTTCCAGATGACTGGTTGTCTGGGTGATTGGCACCATGTTTTAGCATGAAAAGCAGTCTCAATCTATATAAGGTCTAGGGATGGGCAAATCAATAAACTTCCACACCATGCCACTTTTGCATGTCTTTGCCCATAATTCAACTGTCCCATTTCCACTTTAATCTGTGCATGTCCACTCAAAACAGAAGTTCCTAAACATATTAGGCCATATTCAACTAATGCACTGCCCTAGCAGAAGCCACCACAAAGATTCCCACTAATGCAGGATTAACTTTTTAACGGAGTCGCTTGCCAACCTCCTTTTTGCTTCAGCTTCTGGGAGACCTAGAAGTACTTTTAAAAGTCTTGAGCCACCAGTACAGTAGAAGAGTTCATGCATTTTCCCCATTAGCTTCTTTGGGGACTTCTTTTTCTCTGTTCCCTTCCTTTTTTTGCATTTTGGGATTGCAGTGAGCATTTAGACTTACCAGCTCCTTACTGAAGAGGAATGGAACACTGTTTTTACTGCACACTGCCCAGCTCAGAAAGTTCTGCACGTGTTCAAATTGCCTGTTTAACACCATGATGCCCTGAAGCTGTTGTTCCAGTTTCTGCTTCCTTTCACTGGTGATTCTCTGTCAAGAGTCAGAAACAAAAGAAACGACTCAACATAGTCATTGGAACTGTGATGATGCCTCTTGCTTGCTTGGATGAAAGATGGAGAAACGTGTGTCGGTGTCAGAAACATCTAACAAAAGTCAGAAAACTTTTGCTTTTGCATGGGTGGAATATAGCCTACTATAGAAAGATACTCCTTCATGGATCACTGCCTTGCCGTGGCGAAGGGGCTTGAATAACTCAGAGAAGCTATGAGCTATGCCGTGCAGGGCCACCCAAGATGGACAGGTCATAGTGGAGAGTTTTGACCAAACGTGATCCACCTGGAGCAGGAACTGGCAAGCCACTCCAGTATCCCTGCCAAGAAAACTCCATGGACAAAGACAACAGGCATATAAAAGTTATGACGCTGGAAGATGAGCCCCTCAGGTCGGAAGGTGTCCAACATGCTACTGGGGAAGAGCAGAGGACAAGTACAAGTAGATCCAGAGCTGATGAAGCGGCTGGGCCAAAGCCGAAAGGACGCTCAGTTGCGGATATGCATGGAAGCGAAAGGAAAGTCCAATGCTGTAAAGAAAAATATTGCATAGGAACCTGGAATGTAAGAACCATGAACCTGGGTAAGTTGGATGTGGTCAAAAATGAGATGGCAAGAATAAATATTGACATCTTGGGCATCAGTGAACTAAAATGGACGGGAATGGGCGAATTCAGTTCGGATGACTATCATATCTACTACTGTGGACAAGAAACCCGTAAAAGAAATGGAGTGGCCCTCATAGTCAACAAAAGAGTGGTGAAAGCTGTACTGGGATGCAATCTCAAAAATGATAGAATGATCTCCATACGAATCCAAGGCAGACCTTTTAACATCACAGTAATCCAAGTTTATGCACCAACTACTGGTGCTGAAGAAACTGAAATTGACCAATTCTATGAAGACTTACAAGACCTTATAGAAGTGACACCAAAGAAGGATGTTCTGCTCATAATAGGGGATTGGAATGCTAAAGTAGGGAGTCAAGAGATAAAAGGAACAACTGGCAAGTTTGGCCTTGGAGTTCAAAACGAAGCAGGGCAAAGGCTAATAGAGTTCTGTCAAGAGAACAAGTTGGTCATCACAAACACTCTTTTCCAACAACACAAGAGACGACTCTACACATGGACATCACCAGATGGGCAGCATCGAAATCAGATTGATTATATTCTCTGCAGCCAAAGATGGAGAAGCTCTATACAGTCAGCAAAAACAAGACCTGGAGCTGACTGTGGCTCAGATCATCAGCTTCTTATAGCAAAATTCAAGCTTAAACTGAAGAAAGTAGGAAAAACCACTGGGCCGGTAAGATACAATCTAAGTCAAATCCCTTATGAATACACAGTGGAAGTGAGGAACAGGTTTAAGGATTTAGATTTGGTGGACAGAGTGCCTGAAGAACTATGGATGGAGGCTCGTAACATTGTACAGGAGGCAGCAACGAAAACCATCCCAATGAAAAGGAAATGCAAGAAAGCAAAGTGGCTGTCCAACGAAGCCTTACAAATAGCGGAGGAGAGAAGGCAAGCAAAATGCGAGGGAGACAGTGAAAGATACAGGAAATTGAATGCAGATTTCCAAAAAAATAGCAAGGAGAGACAAGAAGGCCTTCTTAAACAAGCAATGCAAAGAAATAGAAGAAAACAATAGAATGGGAAGAACCAGAGATCTGTTCAAGAAAATTGGAGATATGAAAGGAACATTTTGTACAAAGATTTCCATAATAAAAGACAAAAGTGGAAAGGACCTAACAGAAGCAGAAGACATCAAGAAGAGGTGGCAAGAATACACAGAGAAACTATACCAGAAAGAAATTGATGTCTCGTATACCCCAGGTAGTGTGGTTGCTGACCTTGAGCCAGACATCCTGGAAAGTGAAGTCAAATGGGCCTTAGAAAGCATCGCTAATAACAAAGCCAGTGGAAGTGATGATATTCCAGCTGAATTATTTAAAATTTTAAAAGAGGATGCTGTTAAGGTGCTACACTCAATATGCCAGCAAATTTGGAAAACTCAGCAGTGGCCAGAGGATTGGAGAAGATCAGTCTACATCCCAATCCCAAAGAAGGGAAGTGCCAAAGAATGCTCCAACTACCGCACAATTGCACTCATTTCACACGCTAGCAAGGTTATGCTTAAAATTCTACAAGGCAGGCTTAAGCAGTATGTGGACCGAGAACTCCCAGAAGTGCAAGCTGGATTTAGAAGAGGCAGAGGAACCAGAGACCAAATTGCAAACATGCGTTGGATTATGGAGAAAGCTAGAGAGTTCCAGAAAGACATCTACTTCTGCTTCATTGACTATGCAAAAGCCTTTGACTGTGTCGACCACAGCAAACTATGGCAAGTTCTTAAAGAAATGGGAGTGCCTGATCACCTCATCTGTCTCCTGAGAAATCTCTATGTGGGACAAGAAGCTACAGTTAGAACTGGATATGGAACAACTGATTGGTTCAAAATTGGGAAAGGAGTACGACAAGGCTGTATATTGTCCCCCTGCTTATTTAACTTATATGCAGAATTCATCATGCGAAAGGCTGGGCTGGATGAATCCCAAGCCGGAATTAAGATCGCCGGAAGAAATATCAACAACCTCAGATATGCAGATGACACAACCTTGATGGCAGAAAGTGAGGAGGAATTAAAGAACCTTTTAATGAGGGTGAAAGAGGAGAGCGCAAAATATGGTCTGAAGCTCAACATCAAAAAAACGAAGATCATGGCCACTGGTCCCATCACCTCCTGGCAAATAGAAGGGGAAGAAATGGAGGCAGTGAGAGATTTTATTTTCTTGGGCTCCATGATCACTGCAGATGGTGACAGCAGTCACGAAATTAAAAGACGCCTGCTCCTTGGGAGAAAGGCGATGGCAAATCTAGACAACATCTTTAAAAGTAGAGACATCACCTTACCAACAAAGGTCCGTATAGTTAAAGCCATGGTTTTCCCAGTAGTGATGTATGGAAGTGAGAGCTGGACCATAAAGAAGGCTGATCGCCGAAGAATTGATGCTTTTGAATTATGGTGCTGGAGGAGACTCTTGAGAGTCCCATGGACTGCAAGAAGATCGAACGCATCCATTCTTAAGGAAATCAGACCTGAGTGCTCACTGGAAGGACAGATCGTGAAGTTGAGGCTCCAATACTTTGGCCACCTCATGAGAAGAGAAGACTCCCTGGAAAAGACCCTGATGTTGGGAAAGATGGAGGGCACAAGGAGAAGGGGACGACAGAGGATGAGATGGTTGGATAGTGTTCTCGAAGCTACAAACATGAGCCTGACCAAACTGCGGGAGGCGGTGGAAGACAGGAGTGCCTGGCGTGCTCTGGTCTATGGGGTCACGAAGAGTCGGACACGACTAAACGACTAAACAACAACAACATAGAAAGATAAGACTCAATTTGTTGCTCCGCTCAACGTTGCCATTAGTCCTTCCCACTTTTGCCTCTGACCCCACTCACCACTGGCATGTGACCTCCTGAAGATCGCCCATGAGAGAATGCAGCTCTCAGGCTGAAAAACTTTCCCCACTCCTGATATAGGCAGTCCCACTGGTACTGTAGGGCACCATGGACATCTAGCTGTGCTGTTTCCAAATCTCTTGCCCAGCTGCCCTTCTCCCAAAGCAAACCAAATCTTCATTACCAGAGATTCCCACATCAGCTGAGGAAGGGCCTCCCCTTTCAGTTTTTCTCACCCCGTGCATTTCTTGACTTTTGAGTTCGCCACATAAATAAATTCTTGTTGTTTTTATGTCTGCATGTAATAATCTGCCTTAGCTACGTTAGAACCACCCTACTTACCTCTATCTGTTCAAGTAGAACATTCGTTCTCTTATTTATTTCACTGATCAGGAGCATCTTGGCCATTTTGATCTGATTTTCCACTTTCCTTTGCAAGTGCTTTACTTCAAACAATCTGTAGAAAAGAAGCCATTGACAACTTCACTGTGTGTATATATGAGAAGGTTTGATGGTTATCACTGTAAATGCGTTATCAATTGCACCAGGATGCCAGCTAGTGTATATGGCTTGCACCTTTCAAAGCACTTAGTACTATGATCTGGCTAATATCATGATTCTAAGCTTGCGTGCACTACTGCTAACTTGAATAACATGCTTCATGGATTCAAATGTAGGACTTTCCGAAAGAGTTTTGCTGAATCAGGGTGACAAGTCAACACTGCCTAATTTTAGCAAATTTGCCAGGTTTCTTGAGAAAGCAATGATTATATTTGTCTAGTTCATTATTAATAGATTATAGCAAAACCTTTATAATGTATACTAAGTTGTCAGACTGAAGTTCTCAGCATTTTATCATTGAGGGTAATTGGTGTGGCTATTCTTGTATCATTGGAGACAGAAAAAAACCTTTTTAACTGCTGTAATATTGGCAGCTCCTTATTGAGCATACTTATTATTGCATTCTTTATATCTCACCAAGCATTACTTGAGCTTAGATTTGAATTGAGTTTTCCTGTATCTAACCCTGAATAACCTAGCCATTATTCTGTTGTTATTGTTGTTGTTGTGGTTGTTTAGTCGTTTAGTCGTGTCCGACTCTTTGTGACCCCATGGACCAGAGCACGCCAGGCACTCCTGTCTTCCACTGCCTCCCACAGTTTGGTCAAACTCATGTTGGTAGCTTCAAGAACACTGTCCAACCATCTCATCCTCTGTCATCCCCTTCTCCTTGTGCCCTCAATCTTTCTAAGCTACTAATTATTCTAAGCTACTAATTTAGGATTACAATCCACTGAACAGAACATAGTTCTGAACAAACTTGCACAAGACTGGGCTGTAAATTTAGCAAAATGCCAAAGGATGTTTGCTCTCCCATCTAACACAGCTAGGCAAACTGGCCACCTCTTCCACATGTTACTGAATACCTAGAACAAGACAGCATGGTAGTCAGATCTCCTCTCTTTGAAGCGTTTACCTCCAGCAAAAGCACACCCCCCATGCTTTTCTGCCCAAGAGGGTCAGAGAGTTATGCACTTTCCTCTTCATCTCACCAGATATGGAATCAAAGAAAAGTGGGGTGGGGGTGGGGGGGAAGCAAGTAGGCAAGCCACACCCCTTCCCTTCAAATGATGTGCCCCAGTTAGGCCACCTTCAAAAACATCACTGACTGCCTTATTGTGGGAACATCAGGTCTGAGGCCAAATGCAACCATCCAGGCCATCCAGGCTCTCTTTCTGTTCCTTGTAAAGTGTTTTTGTATCCTGTCCCCAGCCACACCCTCTCTCTTCTTCCTTGCCTAGAACGTATCCTTGAAAGTTACCTGTCTTCAATCTGTTTGGCTGAGACCTGCACCCCATTTTTCTTCTCTTCCACTTTAGCCGTCACATTTTCCAGGATGGCTCTCTGGTTTTGTAAAGCTTCGTGGAGATGCCTGAACCTAGGAAAAGAAGAGAAGCCTTTTGTGTGTGTTTTTTATTCTTCTACTAATAAATTCATAAATTAACAGTGAGCAGTCTTCAGTTCAAATCCAACGCAAGAAGGATTTGCGCCTCTGGCGTGTGGCCCCTGACAGATTGCCCATATGGGAACGTCACCCTCAGGCCAAAACATGTTCCCCATCCCTGAACCAGACAATGTGGGCAGGTTCGTACATCACTTGTACTGTCTAGATTTGACTACTCAACGCGTAAATGACACACCACTAAATATGCAAACTGCCTCCACTGAACAACAAAGTGCCTGAAAGGAGGGGACACCTTTGTCTTTGGTGTTTGACCCACGATGGCGCCTTCACATATGGAAGTCACACATGATGCAGTCAGGAAGTGTTAAATATGCATGTTTGAAGATAGGGCAGATCTACAGCATACATTTAAAGCACATTCAACACACATCCAGAACACATGGACTCCCCCAAAGAACCCTGGGAACTGAAGTTTTCCCCAAACAGAGCTACTGTTCTCAGCACCTACACTTCCCAGGATTATTTGGGGCAAGTTATGCACTTTAAACAGGTATGAGATGTGTTTTAAATGTATGGTGTGGATCTGCCCAAGGTCCAGTCAACCAAAAACTTTCCAGAAAACCCCAGCAGCTTTTCTACTGTCTTGGCATCATTATTCACGTACCACCCAGTCAAGGCCTGGACTACCAGATTATATGTGCAAATCTGGGTACATATTTGACAGCTGCCTTCTCCTAAAACTGTTTCCTGAACCACATTAGTTTTTTATTATTCATATTTATTCCACTAATATCAAAAATCACAATATCATTTGTAACTGCTACACAGACTGCTTCACCTTCCCTTCATAATCACAAATGTCTGCTAATTGCACACATGAGGATTTCATAAGTGTGTGCTGAAGAACTGAGAAAACCACAATAATTTTCATATGTGAAGTCGAAATCAGCTTTGCTCCAAATAACCTCCAAAGATTAATCTAAAACCTGCATTGGCCTGTACTTTCTGTTGTTCCTCCAAATTCTTTCCCACTTTCATAGTATTCAAATAGGACACAAAATGTGCTCACAGCCCAATCCTGTCCAAACTAATTTGGAAGTTACCTCCATTGAGTACTATGAGACTTTTTCCCAGGAAAGGTTTCAATTCTGAACTGGGTCTTACCTCTAGGTAAGACAGGATGCTGTGGTAAGTGCATCATGTGAAAACAGTGGAAGTTTACATTGCATAGTGGGATGTGTGACCTTCTGTACAGCTGAAGAAACATTGTGATAGAAAAATAAAGTGGGGCAACCTTATCCTTTCAATCACTAGGCTCTTCCTTGTAGCACTAGACTAAGAACAAAGGACAATAAATATTTAGTACCTGTGTTCCTTGTGCTCCGTTAGAAGGCAGCAGCGGCAAGTGAGGGCGTCGCAGGTCTCGCAAAACAGTTTGAGTGTCTCTTGACTGTGCATTGGGCAGAACAAGGGAAATTCACTTGTTTCCCCATCAGCTCCTGGAAAGCAGGATTAATAAAAAATTACTCCAGAGGTATATAAAAATGCCATGGCATTTGCCTTAAGTTCTTGCCCTACTGCCATTCTACTACTCTCTCCCTATTCTCTTGTAGTTTTATTAAGTTTGGAATAGAGCATGTAATCTGAGCAAATTTGCATTTATAGTTTACTTTCCTAATCTATTTTAAGCATGACACCAGAGTTTCTTTGGCGCACAATGTCAACAGCAAAGCAGAAAGAAGATCACCTATCCTGAGTATAATTTGCTTAATTCAACCACTAACCGATTCTGTTCTCAAAGCTCTGTATGAAATGCTTCAGCTTCTACTATACGTATTTATCCATCCTCAGGCTACAATGCACATACGTTGAGTTCCGAAGTTTTCCCAAATCAGTAAGTGTATGTGATCTTCCTTTCCCCCAAGAAGCACGCCTAATAAATATTGATATGCACATGCATCAGATCCCTTAGTCCCTGTGAGATTGTTCTGATTCAATCACTTACTACTAGCTTCAAAGAAAGGAAAACTACCAGGCAGTAAAGACCATAAATATGGTCTTTTTCTTTTTTCTTTTTTGTTACTAGCATGCCTGCCTCCAAGGACACAGGCCTGAACAGTTAAGGGGAAAGTCATTTACATTCTTAAGGCAAGTTTCCAGCTAAGTTCCCATTCCGAAGACTTGCTCAACTTCAATTCCTTAAATTCACAATCAGCTTTTGCCTCATCTAGATGTAATCTATAATACAGCATGTTACATACTTTATTAAACTGCCACTTGTATGTAGCAGTGTTGCATATTTTATTAGGGTATGCATTAACTTTGGTGCCATGTTTTCTTTTGATGGACATGTAGTTATCTGGCATCTTTCTTCTATGCTTATCACTGCATGAATTTTAAATGAACGAAATTAACAAATAATGAAAAGCTAGATTCTCCCAGTCTCATTTTGCATACTGAAGACAGGAATTGGGGGCCTTGATTCCAGAAAACATTTCAACAAAGGTGGGCAAAAATCCCCAGGGGATTTCTGAAGCTTCCTTCAGAAGTAAAGACCTTAAACACCTACACACTAAAGCTACGGATGCTCCCCACAAATCTCCACTACTTTGCCTGTGGAGAAAACATTCCAATATGTTATCTGTGTTGCATTTAGTTTCCGAGGAACTTGAGAGGACTCTGGAATGGGGTAGAGATTGCTGGAGGACTGACTTTGCATTCTAGTGCATTTGTAAGAATATTTTCCCCAGATGTAAGTGTCCCTTGGTGCACTCCTTGTTCTAAGGAAAACAGCCATTTTCTTCCTATATACATAGAAATGTAAGGTCGTTGGCATGCTCCAGTGTGACAACAGAATGGCAGGCAACAAGCAAGCAAACAAGCAGTGCAGGTGGCAGATGACACAAGTCAGATGTTTAATGGGGACAAGTGGCACTTCACTGTGAAGTTTGGAAAAACAGAACCGCATGAGATTACATTTCTACCTGAACATCCCTTCAATGGTATAGGCAAGAAATTGTCTCCTGTTTCCTTGCCATGCCCGTGCTCTTCTGTACACAAGCTGCATAGCCACTTGTTGCAGTTAGTACACAGACTGTGTGCAGGCCTCTTCTCTTTACATCCAGAGCAATTCTGCAATGACAACAAGAACAAGAACAACAGCTTAGACCTGAATAAAACTAAACTTAAATTTGGGGTGACTCCCATTAACTTACAGAGATGTCTAAACTTAATGCGAACGTGGAAGTTGGACTTTTTAAAGATTGCACATTTTTTACACTTTTGCAAGTCAAAAGCATGTTGAGGTACAGAAAATAATAATAAATAATATTTTTTTAATCTATATCCTGCCCTCCCCAGTCACTCTGGGAAGCTTTCAACATATATAAAAGCACAACAAAACACCAGAGATTGAATCTGCGGGCATCTGGATGCAAGACAGATTCTCTACCATTGAGCCACAGTCCTGATTACACAAAAAGAACAGTCATGCAAATATCTGTTTGCGGCACACGGTTGTGTATGAAAAGCTCTCTGCACACAACAGATGGCTGGGAGAATACCCTAGTAGACAGAGTATGTTTGGAAAGCGACAAAGCAGAGTTCAAACAATTCAGATAAACACTGTTAACAAAGCATTGAGGGGAAAGCATTCTGCATATATTTGAAGGCATTCTCTTCCCTTTTGCTTTGCATTTTCCATGGGTGTACCTGTTGGAAAGACATAGCAGGCTCAGCCCGGATGAGACCTTGCCAAATTAATCTTCGGTACACAAATAAGGAAAACACTCTCAAACATCAAATTGTGAAAAATTGTATATAAGCTGAGAAGCTTCTTATGGCTTGCCAAAAAGAAGAACTAGTGACTCACTGGAAAGATAGCAAGCATAAAAAATGACAGGCATATACATATAATATTCCTGGGTAGATATTTTGGATAGGAATTATTGATTCTCTGTTTATTATAAGCACACCGCAGCTGCATAGCTTAGTGTAAGGTTAGTTGTGCTATCTGATTTTTCGATGTGTGTGTTGACTCTACAACACTCTTAACTAAACATGTGGCGATTCCTGAACAAGGCAATGGGCAAAACAGGCTGCAGACTGGCATCCTGTCAACTTTTAATTCCAGGGTTGTGAAATATCAATAAACATTTTGGTTATTCCATTTACTTTATACCCTACATGGGGTTCCATGATAGCTGATCAGCTGTATATGCTTACAGCTATTTTGTACTGTTTGTACACTGCCACCACAGCTGGAGGCAGCAGTACTTCTGAAAGCCACAGGAGGGAAGAGTGCCCTTGTGTTCAAATCCTGCTTTTAGGCTTCATACAGGCATCTGGTTGGCCACTGTGAGAGAAAGATGCTGGACTAGATGGGCTATGGGCCCGATTCAACAGGCTCTTCTTATGTTCTCATGTACTACATATATTACAATTTCACAGTGTGATAATCTATACAGCGTGTTTTGCTATTAAGACTCTTTCCACAAGCTTTCCTCCTATTGCAGATAGCAGTCATGTGGGACCCCAGTTCTAATAAGGACAATAGCAGGAGCAAAGGGTTAAAGCCACTCTCCCTGCACCTATGTCATTATATCAATCTGACTCAAGATTTTTGTTGTTGTTCCCAGGCATTTCTGTTAGGATGATGAACCCCCCAGAGGGTTATGGGGGCGTGCTGCAGGCTGTTCCAGGCAATGTTAGCTTTAAGTAGACTACAGCTATTACTTTTTGTCTTCAAAGTGCTTTTTAGATATGAATCTTCCCTATGACCTTCCAGTTTTATGCTTCCTCCTGGTTTCCTTGGCTCACCTTTGCAACGGAATGAAAAGGTGGCACATAGTTGCTAATGTGGACAGCTAAACAGTGAGAAACAAGCAAGCATCAAAGGCAGGGTGAAGAACACTGGAACTGCATTTTCCCTGAATGGCATTTTTATGGGAAGCACTTTCACAAATCCTGAAATTAGACCCGTCCTTTGACTCTACTCACAGTCCTTGGACCCTAACCTCCAAATTTTGCAATGCAGAATGGTTTGCACATGTAAAGACATTATTAAGACCTTTTTAGTATTAGTAATTATAATTAGTTATGATTCAATATAGAGGCATTTTCCTAGTAAAAGTGTTTTCCTAGCTGTTTTGAAAAAGTGAAGCAACAACATTATGAAATGAGATTATCACTGAGTGTGGTTATGTTTGTAAAACAGATGCATTTATGCGGCCATATTTGCATTTGGTTTGCGCATCCCATTTTGGCTTTTGTGCTGACAAGTCACAAAATTTAAAGGCGATTGCCACTACCCAATGATATACAGTAGCTCCTTCCCAAACTGAACAGCATTCAATTTTTATGAGGCTCAAGCTACACCCAGGTTTTAATCTTTTCCTGTCTACAGTAATCTGCCAGTTTGCCAACTAGATGACAGATAGTTGTTTCAACACTTTTGCACTTTCCAATTCTTATGTCATTCATCTTTGCAATAACCTAGTCAAGTAAATTAGACTGAGGCACAATACTCCAGGCAAAGCAAACACTCTTATTTGTATGCTACATCAAACTAGCTCTCAATAATCAAGACACTCCAATGTATTTTTTAAAAGTTTGCTTGCAATTCCAAGCAGAGTGCTGGAAGCAAGTGGTTGCTTTACAGAATTACTAAATTTTTGAAATGAGCTGATATCGGGACTGGGGCGTGTCCGAAATGTTGAAATCTGGAGCTGCCTATATTTGTTACTATGTACTGTGATAATCCTCAACATGTAAATGTGTAAATAAACAAGAATACTGCAAAGATAGTACAAGTCTCTGTAGTATTCTCTCTTCCAAAGCAAAGGGATCCTATCAGGGCAACCCTGGCCTGAACTTCCCACTGTGTAGAAAAAGTAGAGGGGACGTTCAGGTAAAAAACTAAGCTAGGTCACTCTGTCACACACTAGTTACTTTTCTGTTAACTTTTCAAAGACAGCAATTGGTTTCTAGGCCGTGCTGCTTTATCTTTACTTCAAAGGCTTTAGCGAACCAGTATTATTTCTTTAACGAAAACAAATATAAAGCAATTGCAGAAGAGGTTTTCCTTCTCTGTTGGTGATTCCTGTGCGGCACTTGTGATAAAAAAATGTTTTTTACAGGCTCGTTAGGCTTCAAGGCAAATGTAGCCCCACAAAACCACAGTATTTGATTTCAGCTGGCAGTCCCAAAGCTGCCCCTTCCTTTTCCTTTCCATGCTGGCTACAAAGAATATACTTAGATTGATTCAAAGCAACCAGTAAAACTCTTTGTAAGGTGAACATTCTAGGCAGGGAAGCAACCTCAGCTGCAGCAGCCACATAAATGCTTATCTAATGCTTTTCATGCTAAAATAGCATACCCTCCAACATGCTGCTGATCAAAATTGGGACGCTCATTTTTTGCTCCCAAGCTTTCGCGGGAGCCAGATGACTTGCATAAGACTTAAAAACAAGCGTCTTTTGGTCCGGTGCTCTGACGTGAGCCCACTGACTCGCGCCAGAGCACCAGACCCCCAAATGGGGATCATTCCATGATCCAATCAGAAGTCAGGATGGCTTCTGTGATTCCGGAGTGTCCTGCTCAAATCAGGAGGGTTGAAGATATGAAATAGCCTGCACCAATAATCTAAAATCACATCCACACCACACATGGCTTCCCCCAAAGAATCCTGAAAACTGCAATGCTCACTTCTGTAGTAAAAGAAACACCCTTGCCTCGAGTTCGCTGCTCCCTCCAGCCCTCCGCTTTCCCTCATTAACTTTCTGCCTCCCAAACGTTCTCACTGTATTTGCACTCCAGCCTTCTGCAACATAATGGGCTGTGCTGAAACATTAGGGGAACTATTGCATCATCAAACAGGGAACAGTTAGTTACCATAAGACAAATCCCTTAGGTTTGAAACTTGATTTGCCTACATTAACAGCCACCTGAGGGTGCTTCCAGGTGTCTGCTTCCTCTGCAGCATCTAAACTGGAAGCAGAATGGGGAAGTCTGCCTTATTTTCTCCACCAGCCCTGCTGCTGCCACCTTCTTCCCCACCTTTCCTGTTTATTTGTTTTTAAGCCTGCAGACTGGGCCTCGTCCACGTTTAGCTTATGTGTACAGCACCTGGTGTTTTTAGGTGCTTAGTTAACATGGCATAGTGGGGTTAGTAGACTACGACTTGGTAGACTGGGGTTCCAAAGGCTACTCAGCCACAAAACATAACATTCAAAACTCCATTCAGGTTGGGTTGTTGCAAGGATAAAATAGGGAGGGGGAGAACCAAGTAGGCCACCTTAAGTTCCTCAGGAGGAAGATGAGATATAAATGTAATACTCAGTGAATAAAACAATCAGAGAAGGAAGTACCTCGCAGAAGCTGATGATCCTATCATTGCCTTCTGCACTATCAATGCTATGCTGCCTGTACTTAACCTGAATGACCATTATTTGTGGCAACTAATAGTGTTAAGCCCAGAGAGTGGCTCATATTCACAGGAGACCCATTGACTGCCATTATTTTGCTCCATTTGTTTCAATGGGTGTACTCTTAAGTACGCCTTGATTGTCTATTGCCCCTCATGTGGTTCTGTGGCCACCAGGCGTGCTTCAGAATATTGTCCACTTACCCTCGCCATGGCTTGGTTTATTGTAGCAGAAGTCCCCAATAAATAAATGTTCAGCTACATTCCTTGGTAAATCGAAGTGTCTGAAAACGGGACATGAGAAGATACCTAAGCAAAGAGGTAGAAAAGAAGAACAGGTCAGGAAATAAAATAAACTGCTATTTCACAAACGAGTTTTAAAATATGTACACCAAAGCATGACAGTGGTACACCCACTCGGCTGGGACTGGCTATGGAACTGTGTATTTCTAAATATGCACAATGTGTAATGCAGAAGATTGGAGAAGGGACAGAGCTCAGTGGTACAGCACATGCGTTGCATGCCAAAGGTCTCAGGTTCAATCCCTGGCATCCCCAGGTAGAGTTGAGAAAGATTCCCATCTGAGACCCTGGAGAGGTTCATATTTACACTGCCAGTCAATGCAGACAATGCAGTGGAGACAATGCAGAAGCAGATAGACCAGTGGTCTCGCTTTAAATAAGGCAGGCTTCTGCTGTTGTATATTTCACCAAAACTTTGGTTTCAGGAAATGTGACCTTTTATCCTACAATTATAGTTTAAAAATTATGGACTTTAAAAAATAAGAGAATGAAAACATCATCTGTTATACACAGTAATGGATAAAATATGGTCACCCCATGATATTCATTTATCAAGGTTACATCAACCAATGCTCCACATGTTATTATGCTCCCTCAGTTTGGTCAGCTGTATTCACTGCAAATCATGGAGTGTTTTCCTGCAAAGCTGTTTTCAGCTGGGGCAACAACATATGCTGATAATGGCTCCCAAGGGTTTGTTATTCAGCTAGAAATAGCTAGAGCTGATCGTCATCTTGCTTCCTTTTGGTGCTGACACACCTACTATCTGAGGATGCTACATATAAGCAGAGACGTGTAAGAGTATTCTCAGGGGATGGGGCTAGTATTTGCTTTATATTGATCACGGGAGCAATGACAGACCAGAGAGTTTACTTTACTTGTTTGTGCTTTTCACAGATGAGATAATTTCATAAACTACAGTAGTTTGAAACCTACCATGAACCCTTCAGTATGGCAAGTCTGTAATTATAAATAAATTCAATACATAGATTTCAGAGATAATTATAATACTGCAGTGTATTGTAGAAATAAGGTAAATTGATGAACTGCAAATGAATATTTGCCTTTGTCAATCCAAGTTCTCTAGGAGTTACAGAATTACATTCTTGCTTTCTGCTGAAACTTCTGAAAAATCGAAATTGAACCTCCATGTTTAGAGCAGTATACCTTCAATTATCATATGCTGAGGGCAAACAGGGGATGGCTAACTTAGGCTATGTACACACACCCATTTATTTTGGATTTTATATACTCAAAACACTGGTTTGGGAAGCAGTACACACACAATGTTAACCATAATCCTGTACCTATCCTGTTGTTTCTTATGATATACTACGTTTTTATGTCTTTCCCCAAAACAGCTTCAATCTGAGTTGAGAAAAAGAATAATGTTGTAGCATTTTAAGCTGGCAATGTTTTCACAGCCTAACATCTGTTGGGGGCAAGAATTCTGGATTATAAAGACTGCTAGTTCAGCCACGCAAGGCATTTCTTATGCTCTTAAAATCATACTTGTAGTTACTCTGACAACCACTTGGGCCTAGTTACTCAAAGATCAAAGTGACTGTATTACTCAATACATCAATTTCCCCCCTTTGTTTTTCAAGTGAAAATAGAATTGCAGACCTATATAAATAAATTTGCCTGTGATTGGTTCTTCTTTGCCTTGGGCGACGTATTTTTCAGGTTTAAATTATGTAAGCCTATTTAAAATTATGTATCTAGAAAAATGCACATATATAATTCCGTATGAAGTTGTCATCACTGTACAAGCGCTCTCTGTCTCTCTCATGTGAATGCTCTGCAGAATACTCAGCTATTAACTTGTCCATTACTCTTATGATTAATTAGATTTCTGCCAGTAATTCTCTAAGGTTTGGATGTTTTCCAGTTACTCAGCATTCATTGTCCTTGAATGCACATTCCTATAAGATCCTGCCGGTAAAAAAAGGCGATACTGACAATCTTTTGTTGATGCTGTCAGCAAAGCAGTTTTTCTGTTCAGTCCCCAGTATATTAGCACAATGAAATCTGCTTTAGATCACTCTTTTATTAGACTTCTTTCCAAATACAAAAAGTATTTCATTACATTTGTATCCTGCTCTTCTACAACAAGCTCTGGGCAACATACACATGGAGGAATTCAATGCAACCCTTCTAAGGCAACTCTTCCATTAGGGCAGGTATTTCACTTTGCCAGATGGAACAAGCCCGCCTCTTCGCACCCTGCACACTGTTCTAGTGGTTCTCCCCAAAACCCAAAATGGGGGGGGGGGGGCACAGGAGGAGGAGAAACCTTGTGATACAAGTAGAAGCTCTTGTGCACTAGCTGAATCCCACCATGATGATTGTCCCTTTTATCATAATAACCACGAATTGCTGGTTTTAACTGACAAAGAGCTGCATGGCTAAGGACCTCTTACTACCCATATGAGCCTACTTGGTCCCTAGGACCAACCTCTGAGCCCCTTCCCTGTGTGCCCATGCAAGAGATATTTGGAGGGTGGCAGTTTTCTTCAGTGCGCCCGCACCCGATCGTGGAAGGCTTGACTGGTATATTTTGTCATCCTTCTAGTGCCAGGTGAGGATTTTTTTGCTCTCCAGAGCATATGGACAGCACCAATGCTCTGACTTTTAGTCCTTTTGTGTGTGTTCATCCTTATATGGTAGGGGTCGTTTTTTACGTTGTTGGACAATGCACATTTTAAAGTACCTTTATTTCATTTTAATGGCTTTTTGTTGTATGTTGTCCCTGTAAATTGCTTTGGGGCTCCTTTAGTGTGAAGTGATGCAATAAACTAGGCCAAGAGAGAATAATTAGGACTAGTTCACCGTGAGGAACATAGGAAGCTGCCTTAGATTGCATCAGGCCATTGGTCCATGTTGTCTACACTGTTGTCAGTCTTGTCTGCACTGACTGGCAACATTGCTCCAGGGAGACTTTCCTAGTCCTACCTGGGACCCTACGCATGTTCTACTATTGAATGGCTGAGTAGGGGTTTGAAACTGTGCTTCCTTTGAGTAATAGGGATATTTAAGCTATCCTGTACAGAACATCTTGTTCCCATCCAAGAGAGCAAGGGATTACCGTATTTTACCATGTATAAGATGCCCTCATGTATAAGACAACCCCTATTTTCTTTAACCCAAAATTAAGAAATTACCGTATTTTTTGCACCATAACACTCACTTTTTTCCTCCTAGAAAGTAAGGGGAAATGTCTGTGCGTGTTAGGGAGGGAATGCCTACGGGTGGCATGCCTACGGATTTTCCTCCTCTAAAAACTACGTGCGTGTTATGGTCGGGTGCGTGTTATAGAGCGAAAAATACGGTAAATTCTTTAGCTTTTGGGGGTGGGGGAAGTGACTTCCACCAATCACTCACCCACCTGCCCGCCAATGCCGATCGCTTGCCACAGCCACTACCAATCACACACCTCACCGCAGCCACCAATTGTCTGCCCGCTTGCCGCCACCAACAGCCCACCCGCCCACTTGCCATAGCCACCAATAGCCTGCCCGCCTCGCTGCAGCTGCCAATCACCTGCTCAATTGCCACAGCCAATCTCCATCAGGCCTTGCTGCAGCTGCCAATCACCCACCCAATCGCCACTGCCAATCTCCGGCTTGCTGCTGCCATTAATCGCACGTCCCTCCTCTGCATTCACTATCCGTGCATAAGACGACACCCAATTTTTGCCTTTTTTATTTTTAGCAAAAAGCATTGTCTTATACACGGAAAAATACGGTAAGCATGGAAGATGATCTGATAGGGCTAACAAATGTTGTGATATCCAGCCCAAACTTGGCCTGCATAGAATTGTATCTACAGTTATTAGTTAAGCTTCTTAAGACAATGTTGCAGCAATACTGGCAGTTAAATCTTTCAATATAATAATGTTTTTCATATTTACATACCTTCCAGACGAGCTTATAACCCAGCAGGTGTACAGGAAGAACTAAGGAAGGATGTGCTGTGGCAACAGAATTGTTGTGCTATTGTCCCACCCATAATTTTATTTTCACATTATAAGATGGGCCTCACATTTGTATTCCTGCCTAAATTTCATCACTGCAAAAAAATTGGCTAGTAAGCAAAGCATCAACCAGAACTTATCTTGTTGTGGGACCATTACACACAGTGATAAAAGCTACTATGCTTATTTTTCTAGGCTGTAAGCAACAGAGATGAAGGAATTAAAACAGCATAATGATACATATTCTCCATTGAACCACTTTTGCACCTAATTACCCAATTTCACTTGTAAGCTTTACAAGGCAAGAGCCTGCCTTTTTGGCTTGTGCTACTCTGTTAAGGGGACGCAAGTGGCGCTGTGGGTTAAACCACAGAGCCTAGGGCTTGCCGATCAGAAGGTCGGTGGTTCGAATCCCCGCAATGGGGTGAGCACCTGTTGCTCGGTCCCTGCTCCTGCCAACCTAGCAGTTCGAAAGCACGTCAAAGTGCAAGTAGATAAATAGGTACCACTCCAGCGGGAAGGTAAACGGCGTTTCCGTGAGCTTCTCTGGTTTGCCAGAAGCGGCTTAATCATGCTGGCCACATGACCCGGAAGCTGTACACTGGCTCCCTCAGCCAATAAAGCGAGATGAGCACCGCAACCCCAGAGTCGGGCACGACTGGACCTAATGGTCAGGGGTCCCTTTACCTTTACTCTGTTAAGCACGATGGGAAAACCCAGGTAAGGACTCACGATAGGAAAACCCAGATATGGGCTGCTTAAATTACCTGGGCATGGACCTGAGGGAAGCCCTCCTGCTCCATCAGCTCCTCCCCCTGGCCCAGCCTGCATCCAAATCTGCACTCCCATTTGCCAATCCTGGGCTCACATCCAGCTCCTGAAAGCTGGGGCGCCCCCGCCACTCATCCGGACAGCCACTCTCATCAGGGACTTAGGAGGCGCTTCTGCCATCCTGCAACGCCACCACACTGAGAGGGTAAGCGGACTTGTGTTGCTCTGTGCACTATGATGGTGCTGTAGAAATAAGTAA